GGTAACTACAGAAAAAAACTTTGCGGCCCGACCTTTACTAAAACTTTATAACTCCGTGAACTTACCTAATTTTCGGCAATCTCCAAGTTTTGCCGCCATTTTGAGGTACTTGCCAACATGAAGCGTAGCAGATATAAATCGAGCAGGTAGATCTAAAACAGTCAGAAATACGTACGAAAGCATTTAAATGAACTTCACGTTCAATTCAAGGGGCAAAATTTGAAATTGTTCGTTAAACCTACCATTCCTACATCCCCATGCGACCATTTCTTCCAACAATTCAAACACTACAACTAGTGATCACTAGTGTTCGAATTTCCCTTGTCGATTCCACCGTAAGAAATAACCTGTGCCACCCAAGCTTCGACTCGAATGTGAAGTACGAATCAAACAACATAACTGCGTCATCTTCGAGGCCATATCACGCTGGTATTTTGATTTTCTGATCGACAAGAACGGTGATCCGGAGGTGATCGCCATGTTTACCTCATAAAGGTGACCGCTGACCAGCCGCTGAGTGAAAACAGCACGCCGCGGGGTGGTGTGGTTGGCGGACTTATCGTGATAAGATATTCGAATACACGTTAAAAAAGCTTTAGGACTCTCAGTCTAAACAGTGAAGGCATGCTTCGTGGTACAGACAACTTTTATTTTATTCTCATAACTTTTTCCTTTAAATTAGAACTGGTATTAATTAATAGAGTTATTTAAATATTTTTAACCGAGGTACCCATATGACTTTTTTGCTTGACCTCAGTGGTATAAAATAAGGTGTCTTTTCTTCCAGAACCTTTTATTTATGCGTTATTGCACGGAATGAACACTATACTTAGAAGGTTTGTTCTAAATCATTTTGCTGTTCCCAAGAATGTTTGCAAAATCATAGCTTTACACAAAGCTGACTCTAAAATATGATTTTCCGTAACAGTAACCAATGTCATTTAGGTAAGGTGTTAATAAAACTAGCAATGTACAATTTTTAGCGTTTTCCACTTATAAGACTGACATACAATTGTCAAGTGAACTATGTTAGTTTCAACTCATTCGATTCCTTGATTTGATGTGACATTTTATCACTAAACCCCATTCTTTTCATTTGCAATTTTCCTGTACTTTTTTTTTCATATGACAACGACAAAGACTTTTATAAGTAAACCGATTTTTTGGTGTACCGCGCTTATTACATTTTATATTCAAATACATGCAAAAGGCCGGCTAAATAAGCTCCTCCTCCTGCTCCTAATTTTTTGGGTTGCCTTCGCCCCATGCCTCTGACGACTCCCTGTCGGCTAAAAGGAAATTTGAAAGACTGCTATGCAGGACACATTTTCTTTTTCTTCATTTTCATTTTCCCTGTACAATTTTTTATAAGTATGTAAAGATATAAAAAACACAAAGGTTTTTACAAGTAAACTGTTTTCTTTTTGTCCCACTCTTAATATATACATATACTTTGTTCTCGCAAAATGGTGGCTAAGAACGGCTGAATATATACCTACTTGGAAATAAAATGATGCTGTTTGGTTCCCCGTTAAAACATTACGTAGGAGTGACGCGTGTCCGTTCAAATTGTGACAAAACCAGCTCACAAAGTCAAAGCAAAAGAGAAAAAAGTGTAATTTTCATAGCCAACTTACAATCTCTCCATTTTAGATAGCTACAAGGGCCATTGGGTCACTGCTTGATGGTGTAATTATCCTTCCACTGAGCACTGGAATTCATGGGTCATTTCATTTATTTTTGACATTAGAACAGCTTTGAAATCTCTAGATTTAAGCTGGGTTGAAAAATCCTCATCCCTTACCCTTTCAGAAGACGACAGTACCAATGTTATCGAGAGACAGGGTAGCGAACCTCTCCAGTCGAATTTAAGTGAAGGGTGGGCACTTCATAAGCCAAAAGGTGGCGCTGTTCGCTTCTAAGAGAAAGTAAGGCAGTATCTCACCTCCAAGTTTGAAATTAGTGAGCAATCTGGAAGGAAAGAGGATCTGCGACAAGTCTCGCAAGATATGAGGAAAGCGAAGGGGGAAAACAGGGAGGGCCTGTTTTCCCGGGAAGAGTGGCTGACCAAAGCCCAAATATAAGGATTTTTCTTCCCTTTGTCCTCCTCGAGATGGAGACGGGTAGGTTAGTCTCCGAGCACCGCGGTTGACGATAAATCTGACGAGGAATTAATTGACGAGGAAGAAGTGAATCACATGACCACCGTCGAATCAGTTGTAACAGAAACTGGCTTAACGCATCCGATTGTCTATGACATTTATGACTTGTGTGACTACGTCAAGGAGGGAAAATTGGACTATTTTACTCTTTCCATGCTTAAGGAAATCTGTACTTTCTTCGAGCTCCCATTTAAATGGGAGTCGTGCAAAGGCATGGGGCGAAGGCAACCCAAAAATTAGGAGCAGGAGGAGGAGCTTATTTAGCCGGCCTTTTGCATGTATTTGTATATACAATGTGATAAGCGTGGTACACCAAAAAATCAGTTTACTTATAAAACTCTTTGTCGTTGTCGCATGAAAAAAAAGTACAGGAAAATTGTAAATGAAAAGAATGGGGTTTAGTGATAAAAGGTCACATCGAATCAAGAAATGAGCTGAAACTAACATCGTTCACTTGACAATTGTATGTCAGGCTTATAAGTGGAAAACGCTAAAAATTGTAGATTACTAGTTTTATTAACACCTTACGTAAATGACATTAGTTACTGTTACGGAAAATCATATTTTAGAGTCAGCTTTGTATAAAGCAATGATTTTGCATACATTCTTTGGAACAGCAAAAATGATTTAGAGCAAACCTTCTAAGTATAGTGTTCATTCCGTGCAACAACGCATAAATAAAAGGTTCTGGAAGAAAAGACAACTTATTTTATACCACTGAGGACAAGCAAAAAGGTCATATGGGTACCTCGGTTAAAAATATTTAAATAACTCTATTAATTAATACCAGTTCTAATTTAAAGGAAAAAGTTATGAGAATAAAATAAAAGTTGTCTGTACCACGAAGCATGCCTTCACTGTTTAGACTGAGAGTCCTAAAGCTTTTTTAGCGTGTATTCGAATATCTTATCACGATAAGTCCGCCACCCACACCACCCCGCGGCGTGCTGTTTTCACTCAGCGGCTGGTCAGCGGTCACCTTTATGAGGTAAACATGGCGATCACCTCCGGATCACCGTTCTTGTCGATCAGAAAATCAAAATACCAGCGTGATATGGCCTCGAAGATGACGCAGTTATGTTGTTTGATTCGTACTTCACATTCGAGTCGAAGCTTGGGTGGCACAGGTTATTTCTTACGGTGGAATCGACAAGGGAAATTCGAACACTAGTGATCACTAGTTGTAGTGTTTGAATTGTTGGAAGAAATGGTCGCATGGGGATGTAGGAATGGTAGGTTTAACGAACAATTTCAAATTTTGCCCCTTGAATTGAACGTGAAGTTCATTTAAATGCTTTCGTACGTATTTCTGACTGTTTTAGATCTACCTGCTCGAATTATATCTGCTACGCTTCATGTTGGCAAGTACCTCAAAATGGCGGCAAAACTTGAGATTGCCGAAAATTAGGTAAGTTCACGGAGTTATAAAGTTTTAGTAAAGGTCGGGCCGCAAAGTTTTTTTTCTGTAGTTACCTTTTTCTATGGTACCTACTTCCTAGCTATATTAGTTGGATCAGTTAAGAACGCCTCACTTTTTCAAAAATGTACCTTGAATTTGATCGGTTTTCGCGTGTGACTTAAGCGAACCGATAAGGTGTCGTTCAAGTCTTCCTGTTTGCTTGATTGAAACGTGATGTTCACGAAAGTCGCCTCGATGGATAAGATAGAGTTAATATACATGGCTGTGGTATTTGTTTTTTGCTGAGTCCCGTAGTTTGTTGTAAATTGTCCGGCAAAGTTGCCTCAAATTAACGTCTTGAAAAGTGTCACGACAGGCCTTCGGTCGAGTGAAATTTAATTTCCGTAAAACTCTGAAAAATAAAGAGATCCGATCAAACGGATTGTGGTTTTAGTATAGGTACATGAATGTCTTCCAACACACAAGAAATGAGCTAAATCTATGTCTCAAGGAAAATCGACCGGACCGCTCTTACAGAGACACTCTCTTAAAGCTTAACTTTCAGCCACGCGTCACACTGGACAACGATATCACTAACGTCGTTGTGATGTGTGACTTCTGTTTCGTCTTACGCAGTGAAAGAAGCAAGAAGTCGATGTATGAACCTTAAAATTTCACTTACATCGGCAGAACCTTTTTCTAGTGTCAAACAGTACCAACAGTAGTGATGGGAAATTGTCACAGCGTTGGCGAACAGCGTTCAGTTCGGACTCACACTCGGAGCTATTCCTGTATTTAAGCCGCTGACAATGTACAGGAATGGCTCCGATCTGCATAAAGAGAGACTTGTCACATGATGGTGTGTGGTAGGGGAATATAGAATAGTCTGTGTTATACATTAAAATCAGCCTCACTAGCCTCGCATGAGATAACTCGTTTGTGTAACTTTTGGAATTGAAGAATGAAGTTATTAAAGCAAATTTAACCATGAGCAAAATAATATTCATCAACTAGTGGCCAGTTTTGCACTGAGTCTACTGTTTGCCATATAAATTATTTGTGTATTAGTTGAGTCATGTGACCTTACTTACTGAAAGTTAAGCTTTAACTTATTAATTAATAACTATTTTTATCCTCCAATTACAGGTCGGAGCCATTCCTGTATTTAGTCGCTCGTGATAGATGTTCACTCTACGCCATCTTGACACAAACGATCAGATTTTGATTTTTGCGCACACCGCCTGTTCCGGAATGTTCCGTGTTCCGGTTTTCGGCGACGCCCATTACATGGCTGCTCCGTCAGAAACTTGAAATTACCGTATATGAAATACTTAAATGAATTTTCTTCGCTCTGACATAGACGGTCTTAAGTTTGAGAAATCAATCAGTTACAATGCTTCTAGTTACATGTAATCCTAGCTTCTCGCTATAATACTATAATGTTTTCTCAGAGCCATCAACTCTACATGGAAGATGTTTCCGTGGTGGAAGAATCAGAAATGCAAGAAGAGAGACAGTTTGTATTCCAAGGACAGTGCATGGTTCTCGGGGACTCTCGGGTTGGTAAAACAAGTCTGGTGAAATCGCTCACCAGAAAGGAATTTGATCCAAACCAAACAAACACACAGGGAATAGATGAGAGCCTTGTGGACCAAAGTTGGAAAAACTACAACATGAAGGAACTTGTATTTGGAGACTTCAGGAGATTTGTCTCAATTACGGGTGGCTTAGATATGCTCTTCTTAAAACAAGGCAGAGAAGCAACAAGTGTTGTTCACGAGTTTAGGTTGGCTGGTTGGTCGGCTGGGTTGTCTCCCGATTGGATTGTATATTTTTTGGCATGTGTTTTTATAACTTATATTTCAGCAAGTTGTAAGCTCATCGACTGTCACTATACAATGACCATAGTTTTCAACTCTATACAACTTGTTCCAGTGATGGCTCAACCTATTTTGCTGACTCTCTACTCGGCCAGCAATCAATTACATGTCCGGAGTACGCTGGCTAAGTTCAACTGCTTTTTCAGCTACAGAGGATTATTAATAGGCTCACATCTTCCACTCGTTATATGCTACTACTGGCGGAAATCTTACGTCCGCTTTCTCAACATTCATGTGGCACTCTTGACAGCTGCAGTTGTAATTGCCTTCATTGGTTGGCTCCTTTTGAAAGGACTGCGGAGTAACGATTTTCAATACTTGCATCACTTTATACCAGGAAGATTGATTCAGAATAAACGTTTTTTAGTTTTTTTGTGTTTTTGTCGTTTACTATTCTCAATTGTCATTGGATTTTGCTTTGGCTTTGTAGCGGCATCGTTTCTAACATCATTATTAAATGACTCACCATTATTAATTCATTCTCTTGATTTTGTGCAAGAAGTTCTTCTTTATTCCTACTGTGTGGCTTTTACAGTGTTATCACCTTTTACATTATTTTATGTGTCAAAGTTTCAGCCATCACCAACTGACAGGTCGGAGGACCTATATGGACTTATTGTACTGTCCGCCTTCCTAGCATTTCACCACTGTAAACTAATATTGACCTCAGGACCTTATTATTTTGTCATAGTATTTCCTGCATCTATCTGTTTTGCATTCTATGTGGAATTGTTTGGTCTCCATTTCATGTACCCCAAAACGTCCATTTGCTCAAACAAGTTGTTTGAGTGCTTTGTGGCTTTTTATCATGTAGCAATTGCTAGTATCGATCATAAAATGCTAAAAAGTGCCCTGAATGAAACGTTTTCCTCTCTCAAATTGAAGATACTTGACTTTGCTGGAGACAAAGAATATTATGCATATCATCACATGTTTCTTAAAGGTCATGCCCTTTACCTCATAGTATTAAACATGGCTGAATTTGCAAAGCATGATTTCAAAGAAATAAATGCAGGAATTGAAAGACTTAAGTTTTGGGTAGAGTCTGTCTGTAGCCATGTCCCTCCAAAAACACCAATATTTCTAGTTGGAACTCACAGAGAAAGTATTGACAAAAACTGTACAGAAACAATCGACCACTTCCTGAGAAACAACTTCTGGGATTTCTACTGTGATGAACTGATTGAAAACGACACTGAAGGGTTGGTGTTCTTTCCTGTTGAGAACTCTAATGGACACAATGATCATGGAATTCAATGTCTTCAAAAGAAAATTGTGGATGTTGCCATAAATTGTAAGGAAACAGTGGGTAATCACATTCCTCTACTGTGGGTCAGAATGCAGGATGCAATCATCAGGCACAAAGAAAATAAGGAGGCCCTGTTTTGTGTAAAATTTGAGCAGCTCAGAATGGTGTTTGAAAATCTTTTTAGCTTAAACTGGTCAAAAGATGCTTTTAAGTACTTCCATGAGCAAGGTTTGGTTATTTACCTGGACAGAAATCAGGATCTTGATCTGTCTGATTGGATACTCCTCAAGCCTGAAATATTGGTTGATATCATTATCCTGCTTGTCACACCGTCACCTCAGATGACCCAGGAAAGAGGATTAAGGCATGACTGGAATCTCTTGCAAAGAAAGGGACTGTTGACAAAACCACTCCTGAAGAACATCATCTCAAAGGTAAAGGAAAGTGTAGAAGCCATGACTGCATTTCTTGAGGAATATGATTTGATCTGCCCCTTGGCAAATAGTAAGGTAAACATTTGTAGGGTGCATGAAGGTGAAGAGCAGCCAACACACTTTGTACCTTCCTTGTTACCAATGGCCTCAGAAAGGGACACACCCATATGGCATGATGACGACACTGATAAGAAATGTTATGTATTCTTCACCAAGTTCCTGCCTGAACCTCTGTTCCACCATCTGCTTTCTCGTGCTCACAAGCTTAGTAAGGTGGAGTTTCCTAATGGTCATACAGTTTTATTCAGAGATGCTGGCAGGTTCTGGTTGACTCCTCGGCAACCTTACAGTCTCAAGTTGATGAAGGAGGAGAAGATGATTGAAGTCACATTCAGATGTAGGTAAGGCTGGATATCCTAATGGTTTAAGCTTAGCTACATTAATGGTATGTTTATTGGTAGCATTTATTGCTCAATCAAAGTGTAAAATTATGTTTCAAAGGAAATATAAGTATAAATGAATGTATTTTTTGGCCTATGTATGAAAATGATGTAAGGCAGGATTAGTGTTAGAGCGATTTTCACTTGACTGTCGTAAAACCAAAACCAAAGTAAATACACTAGCCAACCAAAGGGCGTAGTAAAACCAAAACCAAACCAATTCCTCAATTACTTTTGACAGTCAAGTGAAAACCGCTCTAATTTATGCACAAATTATAACTAATATTGACAATAATAC